CGAGCCCGACATAGCTGATTGATGGACTACATCATTTCGAAGTATACACAGTGGAATAAATCATCTTTGCCATCGCATTAACTTTTATAACTTCATAACATTTGGATGTATAATTACTGATATTTCTGCTAAAAGTACCTCCGGACCTGGCGGCATAGCGACTGCTATACCAGTTCACCCTGATACTCAAGCAGCTATGGCAGCTGGCTGTTATGCAACACCTCAATTCCAGTTCTCTGTCCTCAAGCTTCAGCATTGTCTACAGGTGTGCAAACACTCTTACAATGGTCTGCAACTCGATTTACTCAAGCCGGTCCTACAGCTGTTCAATTACAACAGTTTACCCAATCACCTCAACAACAACAGATTCAAGCACAAGCTCATCAGTTACAACCAGCTCAACAGCAAGCTTATATCCAACAACATCAGCAACAAGCAACAATGATGGCAACTGACGTCTCTGTCAGTGGTCAACCTTGTACTGTAGCTGCACGCTCCTATGCTACTCCCCAGTTTATCACTCTGGCACCAGGAGCTCCATTAAAAGTCATGGCTGTTGGTCCTAACGGTCAGTTGATTCAAGCCGCTGGTTTACCACAGTTTATGCCGACTACTTCTGTGGGAATGGCTATCAATCAACCAACTGCTACTCTCCAACCTCAGCAAACATCAATTCAAGTACTCCTCAAAGCCGAGTGACAACACCCCAGCAACAACAACAACATACTAACGAACTTCCACTTCCAACCGTATCAGCAGCAGCAGCTACTGCTGCACTCTTCTCTGGCACAGCCATCTCTTCTTGTACAATTCAACTTGTACAACCAGCTTTCGTGGAAATAGAGGTAACTGAATGTTTACCCAAGTCATTTCCATACTTCCTTATTACTATACTATTAACTGTATGTTAAGATATAAATCTATTCTGTAACTCTTTACAATAACAACCTCATTATTATTCTAATAATAATTTTTCTGCTTTTATTGTTACACGTTGCACAACTTACTAAACATTTTAGTTCGTTTCAACATTGTTAACATTTCCTAATATATACAGTTATAATCGAACCTCAGAAAACTTAAAAGCCTCAATTCGGTTTTCATACTTTCTTGTCCTTGTAGTTTACAATATCATTCCGAATACAGGTAAACGAAGTTTACCTGCATTCTACGGAGGGGCTATTGTAGTGACCCATGTTATTACTCATCATAGTACTATACTTTCATTGTGTAATTGTACTTTGATTTGTTTATTACTCTAAATCTTGCATGTTAACAATTGATACTTTTGTACTCGCTCGATTTTTGAATTGTTGATTGCTGCAATAATACACTATCGTATTCTTTCGCAAGTGCCTTTTGAATTACGTTGCGGATGTCGAGTAATCGCAACGTTAGGGCACAATCATAAACGCGAAGAAATACTAGAAGATACGTGTACTCTAGTTCAGTCAAAATAAAGCAGCAGCAAAAGCCTCACGTATGTCGTATACAACGTTAAGAATAGTTCGGGAGTAAGAGCTCCCAGATGCCTATGCATAAAGTGTAAAGTGGCGTAAGCTTTGGCGACGTCCCTCGTGTAATTTACACTGGTGTCTAGCTTTTCTGTTAAAATAAGGCCTATGTCGCGTTCTGATGGCACACAACTCAAGTTCTGGCCACCAAGGGTGTAATTTGCACTCTGTGACCTGCCGGAATGAAGTTGCACTACTTTGCACTTCTTTAAGTTGAAAGGCATTCCGTTAGCCAGAGCCCAGTCTCCCAGAGTTTGCAGGTCAGCCTGCAATCTGTCGGAGTCTTCCGATGACTTTATTGCTCTCCAAATCTTTACGTCGTCAGCGTAAAGAACTCTGAGGAACCCCTGATGCCGAGGTGTGCCAGGATGATCGGATGCGGTTGACTTTGGTGCAGAATTCTCTCTCGCCTAAATAATCTTCCAGCCATGCGAGAAGTGCTCCAGAAGCACCCGCTTTGCTTATTTTGTGAAGGAGCAGACCATGGTGAACTGTGTCGAATGCTTTCGCAAAGTCGAGAAAGATCACATGGACTGATACCTTTACATCCCAGGGTAGTGTCTAATCGTTCCAAGCTAGTAGAAGATTCGTCACACAGGATCTTCCCCTCCTGAAACCGTGCTGTGCTTCATGGAGTAGGTTAGTCCCGTCGAAGTATTTTCTCATGTGGTCGTCAATGAGACTTTCCAATATCTTCGATATCACTGGGAGTAGCGCAATTGGTCTGTAACTGGTCGCGTTCTGCCGTTCACCACCCTTGAAGACAGGGGATAGAATGGCTCGTTTCCATTCACATGGAAGTTTCCCTACATCAAAGGAGTGTTGAAACAGATCACTTAGGCGTTGGCAGAGACTTTCTGAACACTGCTTCAGGACGGATGGTCTTATGTCATCGCAACCTGCAGACTTTCCCGAAGCCAACTTTCCCAATTTTACGAGTACCATAGCCGGGGTAATTTGAAATGCACCCAGCAGGTTTTCGCACGTTGGTCTTGCATTGTAATCTTGATGTTTTGTGGGGGTAAAATCCTCATTACTGTTCAGTTGCCTGTGAAAGGCTAGACTGAATGTCTCTGCCATTTCAAGACTAGTAAGAGATTTCCCATCAGAACCCACTAGATTGCAAGCTCCCTGGATGGTCGGTTTTCTTTCAGACATAAACCTGTATAGGCTTTTGGGGTTCACGAGAAGCTTATTGGCGAGGTTTCTCTGAAACGTCCTTCTATCACTCCGGACTCGTATGTTACATCGATTCCTGAGTTCGAGGTACACTTCATGTTCGGGTTGACTTTTCGACATTCGCCACGCAAACCAGGCTTTTCGCTTCGCCTGTAGTAGGCGTTGTGTCCCCCTTTTTAGCCATGAACGTTGCTTCCTAGCTTTAGGTGTGACTAAAGGAACAGTATCTGAGACAGCCTGGTGAATGATCTCCTTTACCACTCTCGAGTGTTCTTCTACTGTTAGCTCTGTCCAATTTTTTGGCCAATTTGCTTGAGACAAAAGTCTTCGCATTTCGGTGTAATTGGCTTTGTTATAACACAGATAGGGCTGTGTATTGTCCCACTGTAAACGCTCGCGGAGGACTATGTCGAATGTTATGACCGCGTGGTCACTACTACCTATGGGAGTTGTGATCTGAACGTTTTCCACTAGTAGCTGGTCACTAGTGAGCACGTAATCCAGTCTAGAAGACTTCCCATCTGGACCCCATCTAGTACCCATTCTGACATTTTCAGTGAATCCGGCCTCCCTGATGGTATGCAGCAGATTTCGATCAAATCTGTCCTGGGCATATCCCGTCATCAAGTTAAGAGATGGGGCATTGAAGTCTCCGGCTATGACAATTTGATCATAACCCATGTCTTGTGTCGCTGAAATTGCGTTCAGCAGTACCTGGTTGTGGTCTGCTCCACATGAAGGTGATCTGTAAATGCTGCCCACTAGATACTTACAGTACCCAACGGTGAAATGGCACCATATGGAGTCAGGGAGCTCAATGAGGGGAGGGTCGATTGCATGGACACATCTGAGCTGTTTGTCGACGTATATGGCGACTCCACCTCCTTCTTTCAGATTCCTATCTCGCCTGACTAGGACCATATCATTTATACTGACTCCGCTGTCTGCCACCGTAGGTGTTAGCCAGGTTTCCGTCAGTATTATGATTTTGGAGTTCAGCTGTGATTGTAGGTATCTAAGTTCAGCTATTTTGCCTCTTAGACCTCTCACATTACTGTACAGGCAACTGGTAGTCAGTCTCACCACGTCCCCGTATTGCGGGGTGGTTGACGTGATGTGGGCCGTCGGTTGAGGAGTTATCCTACGAACTAGTTGGCCGATACCCCGGGGACCGGCCTGTTGGCGTTTTTTTCTTCTGATTCAGTCGGAGCACTTGGATGACACTGGCTATCATCGTCCGTGCTGCACCGCTGTATTGTGACTAGGGGTTGGGGATGTTCTATGACAACGTTTTGTTCTCTCCTTTGGGTACGAGGCCGGCTCTCGCAGCAGCGAATGTGTCTGCTGACCTTGTCCTTGGTCTCGTACCATATCTGGAGAGCAGTAGTCAAGTGGTCTCGGGAGCTGAACTTAACAGCGAACAGACGTGGAGTGTTAATTGTCATTTGGTGAGTGGGTCGAGGCAGTCTAAAAATTGAGACAGCACCTGAACTTCCCAGACCATCTGGGATGCCAACCATCTCCATTGCTGTACATCGTGATCCCATCAGTTTTGTAGTCAGTTCCACAGTCTCGTGTTTAAATCGCTGATTTACCATTCTCAAAAGCACCTAAGCACTTACTGTTCGGGCATCCGATAACAGTATTTAACCAGTTACACGTACGACTGCAGTTGCGCGTGTTACCCTTTTATATACTGGTAAGTTCTCATATAGTCTTTTTCCAATGAGGCATGCATTCTTAGGCATATTCTTATGATTTTAGAGTTTCCACGTGATATCCACAGACCAATGTGATAGAATATATGTAAGGAAGCATAAAGTGAAGAATTATGCCATTCACTTTTATAGATAACTCAAATACTTCGGGGAATTATGTCTCACTGTCTGTGGCTTTTAATAAATATTATGTTTATTCAAACTAGATAGGGGATGCTAAATTCTTCGAGAAATCATTAAGGAAGTGCAGGATATTTGGTAAGTGTATGGTTGAACTAGTTAAAGATCAGAGTCAGGGTCAAGCCGAGAAATTGTTGGGGTTAAGTTGTGGGAATATTAGGATTGTTTGAGGCTGGATTGGGGTACATTAAGGAGAGATGTGAGTCACAGTAAGGTAAGAAAGGCGTGGACTCTGGGTTAAAGTTAATCAGTGATATATTCTGGTTAGGATTGAATGAAAGTCTCAAATTAGCCCTCTGATGTCGACTGTTACTTTAAAGGTCTCTGGTGCGTTCGTCCCTTCAACTCTGCCATGATATAACAATATTTCTCTATCCAATATCGAAGATACTTGCAATCTGAATGTAGTGGATCACTTATGGAATGATGCAAAGCAATGAACCTTGAGTCATCGCGCCTAAGTCAACTCTTCTTGTTGCTATAGACGTTCGCTCTGCTCGCAGGGTTGTTTTCCCCATTTGTGGTTTAGTGTGGGCTGTTGGGCAGGTGAAGCTCCAGTTATCACAATTTTCCGATGAGGTCAGTTTCGGTCCGTTCGTTATATAATATATATATATAAGCAAACGCAAGTGTTTAATCAATTAAATTTACTCAATTAAGCACTTGCGTTCACTATGCTTATTCTTTATAAGTTGCTGCAATAATATAGGAGAATGAACGCCCATTATTGTCTGTCTTTTATCCCTTTTAGCGGATCTAAGCGCGGAAGGAAATCTGTCATGGGTCTTGACCTAACAAATATCATTGATTCCCCACCAGGAAGTGCCGACTCGAGTGGAACTCGCAGAAGATCCTTGAGATTACGCCGCAAATCTACATGTGCAGTGTCCCATGACGAACAAACACTACCATCTAGAAGATATCGTCGAAAGTCTGTGATAGACCCGCAAACTCAGGTAAGTGCGTCTGCTACGTTGAATAAGTTACTTGTTTATTTATTTTCATTCCTTCACGTTCCCAGTGGAATATAGGGCTTCAAGCTAGAGACTTGAATTTTCTGTAGCAATGTTTATTTTTACAGCATGGGGTTGTTAGCAGAATGACAAGGGTTTGATACTAAACATATGTTCAACGTTAAATTACTTTCGATGTGCAGGAATGAAAATGAGTCAGCACATCAATAAAAGACGACAGCACGTGGGAATATTTAGGACTTCGCATATTGGATATTGGATGGGGTTTCTATCCTCTCGCTCAACCGATTTCTCTTAAGCAGCTTCATTTCTGGTTCACCGAGGTTTAGGAGTGCGTTGGCTGGCGATTGAAACCGTGTGGACATCCGAGGTCGAGGGGAATTCTACCACTGCACCGTGAACTCAGTATGTTCATATAATCACTGTTAAATAATCTTTGTTCCACATACTTTTTCAATATAGATTTTCCAAATTGAAACGTCATTAAGACAAGGTTTTTATATAACGTATTCACCGTATTGGATATCGATACCATATCACTTTATTGGTCTTGTTTTGCATTCGAATGTAGTCTGCGTTAGCATTGTTGACAGTTGGCTGATGTAGTTGTTAGCTATATCAGACTATTACGAATATTCGTCACATCTTCTGTATGCGAATTGTTCAGTGCTTCTGTTTAAAGATTTCAAAACTGGTAGTCTGTTTAAATGATAAATCAAAATAGTGAAAGTAACACAGGAGAGGACATATAAAAACTTGGACCGTGGTGTTGCCATTTTAGCGTATGCTTTGTACTTGATTGCATAGATGAATCACATATATGAGTTCTCATACATTCAAATATCCTACTTCAAGATAGTTATTCCATTCGTTAACCGTTTCTAGCTTTCGCGAAATTCTTCACTTCTGTCCACTTTAAGTACCCAGTCGCCTTGTGTGAAAACCCAAGCATTTTGATTTAGTTGTCATTTATATAAACATCCCCTTTCTCTCCGTCTCTCCTTGTTCATAAAACATACAAATCTACAGTGCAAATTTAAGCTGGTTTTCCGTTAATCTTTCTGACGGGTCGAGCACATACCCATTTGAATTACATTGTCATGCTTTAAGATATGCTCGGCATGTACGTCTTGTAGCTTGAATTTTGTTGATGCATCATATTGTATTTCAAAAGCCACTATTTTCTTCATAATTTCTTGGTCCTCAAATTAATAGAACGAACAAACTGAATAGCTATTACCTAGGTACATGAGACTATGCTTTACATTGCTAGTATCTTCAACCATGAGTAATATATGGTACTAATCCACACTTTAATTAATATTCCTTTTTTGTAGACGGATGCAGTTTATGACGCATCGTGCAACTCTTCTCATTCGCCTGCCCAGAATGAAAAGAATGTACCATGTACGGATATTTTTGCACAGCCATGCTGTACTGCGTCACCCGATAAGGTATCTGTCTTATCGCAAGATGAATTGGAAAATGTCAGACCTCAAAGTCCTCCACACATACCATCAGATATTACAGATGTCTATCTTCCTAATAAGTATACGCCCCCGAAACACAGGGGTTTGTCAACTATTTTGGAAAATTCTGTTGAGAAAAACCAACGCTGCCACAGGTTATGCAGAAACACTGAGCGTTCCCCCTTACGAAGGCAGATATTTACAGGACAAACACTCGAAGAAGCATGCATCCCTACAGCTCCCGGCGTCGCCCCTCTGGATCCAGATCTTGTCTTATCAACAACACGCAAGCGTATCGCGAAGCGCCGGAGGCTTGCCAAGAAGTTAGGATTTAAAGGTATTACCATATCCAAAGAAACAGAAAATAGGTTCAGCAAATTCCTTCTAGAATCAGCTTTAAATTCTTCTCACAGTAGTTCAACTTCTGATTGAGTGAAGAAAATTTTCGTAGAGCCTCTCTGTAAAAGTCTATTCCACTCCCTACTGCGTCTTTCAATAAAATATAATATTGTATAGGGTTTTTAAAATGTATATTTACCGCTTCATTCTTGAACGTCTATAGCATTTTACTGTTTGTGGAAAGATTGTATATTTATATACCATTAACTCTAACTATTTTTACTTTCTATTGTACAATAAACATTAAATTGATACGGCAAACTAAACCTTGTTTTAACCGAAATATTTGCTTCTCACTTTTTCCGTTTAGAGGTACGGCTAATTAATTGATTAAGGTGCTTGGCTTTCAGCCACTGGTTTGTGAACTCGAACCAAACCAACCGTTGGATGTAACTAATTACCATGTGTAATTAAGTGCAAGTGGTTATTGAGCAATCTTCCTCTTCCAAAACTGAACGTTGAAATCTACGCGAAAATATCCAAATAAATTAAGGATTGATTAGACAGTTAAAAATTGGGAAAATATCTGCAACTGTTCGCAAAAATGGTTAAGTGACTTACATAAAGTTACATAATGGCTTGTCATTGTTAGAGAATGTCATTTTAAAGGTGTGGTCTTGCTTATGTCACACGTCTGTTTTCTTTAATTATGTTAAGGGGAAACAACACTTGGATCACGATATTAGTTGATTTTGTGTTTTAAAAAAATTGATTATGAACTGAAGTAATTGCAGTATGAGGACCAAATACTTCAATATGACAGAAAAGTACTGACCCCATAATTGAAAACTACAGAATTTTTATGAATGTCCGATCAGCGTATGGTAAAGTTGTCCAGGTTAGATATCAATACCTTGAGCACTGAAGTTAGTGGTGGGCATGAGTTAATGTGCAGTTCAACTTAAATTTCTCGTTTTACTGAAGTAGCAGCTGTTGAGTGAGTAGTAGTGTGTTGCCAATCTTTTCCTAATGTGGTATTTTTTTCTTTTTTAGTAGTGGTTTTTGTGAATATATTTCATAACTAATTGTTCTCTTTGTTCCCTACTCGGCATTACTGTCTGAGTTCCATTCATGCCGTTTTGCTAGCGTAATTTCCTTCTATACGTCAAGTGGTAGATATCTTAATTTGTTTGTACAATTTTGGCTCTACAAGCGTTTTGATTGCAACGATATTCGTTCAGCTTTTGATAATGTTGGCAGTCTTATAAGTAGCTCTGTTCACGGTTTCAGTCAAGTAACACCAGTTAATAATTTTCTGTGAATTAGGGTTTGTGGATATTTGATAAAGTCAACTAAGAAAGTGTCGAAATAATATCAACTTTTAATCTTAGAAGTTGGGTATTATCAATCAGTAAAATACAACAGGTATTTCTTAAAGTATTGCTTTTAATCCTTATTTCATTGAGACAATAAGGGTAGTGACTAACTCTCGTTTTTCTAGTGCACCCCTTTTAATGCGTATTGTAAGAAGACAGAAGACATTAGGTGACTCATTCCCAATCGTTTACATATTTAGCATTTACTTGTTAAAAAAAGAAGACATTTCAGGCATATCTGAGCAAGTTTTGATTTAATTCGTTGAGAAGTGACTACACAATCTGGAAAAAATAATCACGTAACAGCTGTAGTGACTCAATGCATTATTCATTATTGTAGTTGACTCACACTGCAACTAAATGTTCGTCTTCTCGGAGTATGCGATAGTCGGTATAGAGGTGGATGGTGGACCTCTGTCAATTTGAGATATATAGCGCCAGCCAATAACATCGAGGAGTATTTGATTGTCACTTATGGTTTAATTCAGATCACATCACTAAATTATTTCACCTCATTTTCTTGTTGACTAGGTGTTTTGTATTAATTTAAGTTACGGTCAGAATCAACTGCATGCTTTTACTGTTTCTCAATTTCATCAGGAAATAGTTTCTGTACTGAACACTAACTAAAACCTGTACACAGAAACAGGTAAGAACAAAGATTGTAGTATCAATTTCGTATTAACGCAATAGCAGTAATTCCGGAAATTTCAAAATACAATGAAATCAGTATATATATATATACCCAGAAAATTGTATTAACAAAAGTAAAATTAAGAATAACCAATAGACTCAGGGTAATGCATGGTATCTTTTTAATAGCCTATCACTAAATGTATTGTACGGTAACGACAGAAGACAAGAGAATTTAGTAACGGGATTATTTATTGGCAAATCGATACACAAATATAGGCAAGATACGTCTTCATGTATTAGAATCACGATTTGTATATATCTTCCGTAGTGTGCGTCTTTGTCTTCGTTCCATGTTGTTTCACAAGCATCATTCTTTAAATCCATCTCTCCGCTACCTGATATTCGTGGAGATGCCATACATATTCAAGTCTGCATCTATGCACTACTTAGAAATCCTGTCAGTAGCACACGCCACACTGCTTACCTATTTCCAATCCCCATACTGTATGAACTAGTAAATACTATTTATCTGGTTACCTTGCCACTCGAAATCAATTTGATTTTACTTACTTAGTCATATTTACGTCAAAATTTATTCGTCACATACCTGTCCATTGATACTACGACAACAACTCATATTTTTTAAGGACATGAATAGTATTTCTTAAGAAGAATAATCTTTCTTCAGACAAACTTATAAGGTTTATAGCCATGGTATTTAAATGTCCCATTGAGTGGAAGATGGCTATGTAGGATTCATTAATTTACGCATACATCAAATGTATGATTACATCAGCATTCCTTAATCACTATATTATTATCCTGCCTTGCCAACAGCTATCGCCTCAAACATTTCAGTGCTTTTCTTCTGTATAAAATCTTGAAGGCGATTTAAATATCAGTCTAGTGATTCATATGTATGATATGTTTTGTTATGGATGATGTTGGTGATCTGTCACCTGTCTTTATGGAAACTTGCGAATTTAAATGAAGTGCCTTCCGTCCTATTTGGGATTTGTCAGCCAGTTGTAGATTTCTGTCCTGTCGTGGATCTGAATTATGGAGCTGACATTGTCCTAACTAATTTAACCTACACTCAACTTTGGTATTCTGGGGTGGAAGGGGGTAGGGCCTCAAATCTCAAATGTACCAAATCATGTAAAGTACTGATGAGGTTGACCTAAAATGAGTGAAAACCGCACATTTAGATCACTTTGAATTGACCATCGAACCTCACTGGTTGATGTGTGGAGTCCAACTATTTATATCAACCAGCCAGTAGTATATAGCACCGTGCATTTTTGATTTCTTGTTATGGTGCTATTCAGAACACTATGTGTGGCCTGAATAATTTTGGGACAGTGGTAAAATTCCATCTCGAGTCGTGTAAGTTGCAATTTTGATTCAAATGATCCTAGAAACATATAGGACTATGACTAAACTAGAAATTTAATGCATTTATTCTAATGTATCTAAATAGTTCGGTCATCAGCTGGTCTTGATTACTCAGTTCCGCTCAAGTTTGAATTCCACTCATTGTATGCTGCAAT